ATCGCAAACAATTTAATCTGATCTGCCAGGAATAGTATGTGCTTATAATTTAAAACACTAGCTAAAGCTGCGCATAGAACATCTTTATTATCTGATATTTTTGAAATGCTGTGAGATGCAAAGCTGGCCTCCCAAGGGGTTAGCAATTATGTCTTGCTCTCGCTCAAACTCTGCAGAGTTTCTTTTACTGAGTTTTGCAACCCTTCAGTTTTGTGTCCTGGCCTTGACTGAATCTGAAAACCATGACAGTCAGCAGAAGCAACCCCTTTTTGACAGACCAACCCAGATCACCCAGCATCAAAGACCTAACATCAAAAACTTTACCCTAAAGGATAATGAGGCTGGGCCATGGAAGGTTGCAACTAATTTTCGTGGCTATGGTGGTTACAAAAATAGTGCTTGAGGAGAGCAGTGATGTTCCCTGGGTGAGTAAGACACTGAGCCCCAAACCGTGACAGGCCTTTGCAATCACTCCAGTTCCATTCCTCAATTTACTGATCTTTGCAGTAGACTTCAGACCATAAAACCAAGAATTATAATTTTACTTTGGCCCACACAGAATCTGGCTTTCTCATCCTTGCTACTAAGCCAAAATTTAACAACAGCAGGAAGAAAAGTAAACTCCTGTAATGATAAGATACCCTAATTTTTACAAATTATCCCCAGGGACATTTGTCAGTACTGTTTGAAGGATCCATAATTAGCACTGAAATGCATTTGTCAAAATAAATCAACAATTTGGGAATGCCTAACCCTGGGTTGTTGTTAGTTTTGGATTTTTTTTTTTCATGTTTGCTTGTTTCCTCAGTGGGAGCTTAATTTAAGACTTTTGAATCAGAGGAAACCTTCCTCAACCAAAACTCATTAAACCTCCCTATTCATAAATTTGGAGTGCAGAAGGGACGATTATATCATCCCATTTGACTTCCTGAGCAGCAAGGCCATGAAATCATACACAGCTACTCCTGCACTGAGCCCAGAAAAGTGTGTTGAGACTAACACATATCCTCCAGAAAACTACAGTGAGTTTGTCAGTAGAACCAATGTCTTCAGTTGGATCAAGCATTTTTTAGAGTAGAAGAAAAAAAAAAAAAAAAAAAAAAGGGTGTTAAATCTTTATAAAGGTGAAGAGAGATTATATCACTTTTTTTTGTTTGTCTTTAAATTTTTAACAACCTACATGTTAAAATTATTGGTAGCAATAACTAAAGTATGTACAATGTTTTCCTTGAATGCATAGTTTTTGTCTTTCTTACATTGTAGTATGTCTTGATTGGCCCTAGCATATTCCCTTCACTGTTAACTCCTAACTCATCAGTGGTCCGAAAGAAGAATCCTCAGCCAGAAATCTACTGAATACTTAGTATTTTAAAATATTTCCTTTAATACAAGCCCCTTGGTGATGTGTCCTAACTGTGAGCACCTCAATCTCAGTGGCTATTTCTCTTGGACAGCACTGATCTCATCTCTGAGAGCTAAATCTCTCTACATTGTCCAATAAGGGAATGTGGGAATATATTTTATCTTTACTCTCCAGTTATCACATGAGAAATCTTTTTTTTTCCAAGTTCAAAGAATTCTTAAGGGAAAGTAGGAGACATAATTCAGAGAGATAGGGCTGAAAAGCATTATTAATATGCTAGGGGTATTAGCAATTCTTGCCTATCACCTTGGATTAATCTGGATGTGATGTAAACACACATATATGGAAAATATATTTTAACATAAACATTTGGAGAAAAAGTTAACTCTCACCTGACTATGCAAGCAACCCAGACCAGGAATTCAGGTTTAGAGAAGTGGGAATTTACTCCATCATTTTGTATTTCACTGCCATCCATCACACACAAGTGTCCCTCATCAGCCTGACATGAAGAACAATACCTACCTGTGAAAGACACTGTCCAAAGCAGCTGGGGAGCCACACCGCTTCCAACTCTACTCCTAGAAAAAAGTCACCAACCCAGGACACTGACACCAGGGCCCTTGCTGCCTCCAGCCCCAACCCTGCAGCCATGAGCCCCAGCATCACCCCCCATAGAGTCTAGTGACCACAGCTCCTGGAGTCAGTCACCACTCAGCTCACCGTGGATCCGCAGAATCATGTTTGGTGACTGCAAGCATCTGGAGACCAGGCTGATTCACACTTGTAAGATGCCATGTTGGGGATACAAAACCCTGTTGCTAATAGTAGCACAGCACAGAATCAGAGTCTAGCAGGACACGATTTATTGCTTGATGGTGCCTTCCAAACCTCCACCAGTGTTTTGAAAATATCAGGCTCCACAGGGAATATAATTTGTCAAAAATGATGAAAGCTTTTTTCCTTTCATCATATAATATCTAATGTTCTTTTCTCCAGTCAAAGTTCCTTTCTGGTCTTGGACTAACTACTTTTTCATCTTACAGCAACAAGCATTTGCTAATAATAATCACTGGAGTGTTTGGACACTGATTTCACAAAATGTCCTCAATCTCTAGTTTGCGAAAGAATAAAAGATATGCAGAATTAGCCATTCAGTCAGCAAGGATGGTGTGTGCATACTGCTTTCCAGAGGAAAAAACATAAGCATGATTCCTTGCCTGAACTTTATGCAATATAGATAAAGTCGTGTGCTTTTGTGAAGTATATACAAGATGGCTGTGAGTTAAGTCAAGTCCTGTGCCTCTGAAATGACCTGATGGACTACAGTGAGACATGGCATTAGGGCAAAGGCATATTGTATGCATGAGGTATTAACTAAAGCTGAATATATTTCTGGCTCTCTTGCTGTAGGATGGCTTGAGTATCCCAGAAAACTTGGGTTAACCCTTCTGTGGATGGATCCAAGCAGCTGTATTTGCAAGGGCAAATTGCTGTGGTGTAACACATGCTCATGAAGCAATATTCAGGAGGGAGATCATTTTACAAGGCCACAGCAATGCCAAGTGTTACAGAGGGGTTCAAAGTGTGGCTTGCAGCAGGCTTTAGGGGGGGTTTGATACACAGAGAAAGATGCAGCTGGGTGCACTGGAGGGTGTCCAAGGGGAGTGGTTTGAGCAGGCAGGCATGTCATGGCCCTGATGGGAGACCAGTGGCCTTCCTAGCAGTTGTGGGGGTGCCCCAGGGCACCCAAAATACACCCAGTTATTGCTCGTTAAGTCATGATCCCACTTCCATGAGCTTTTAATGCTTAGGTGCCTATCCTGATTGCATCTTCAGCAGCCCTGGTCCAACCTAGGCTTGAAGGGCAACCCCACTGCCTTGCCTGCAGTGTAGACCACCCCAGCAGCCCCACTCAGCCAGGTTATCCCCTCCAGAAGGCATCCCCAAACCCCACATAGAGCCCTGTCTGGTTCAGCAGCACTCTCCTTCATGCCATGGGCACCGAGGGTTCCTCCCTGGACACAGACATTTTTGGCTCTGGGCAGCACTCAGTGACTATACGCTGCACATTGTGGCAAGGCTTGGCTGCATCTGGGGGTCCCCAGTATATGGCTTCACTATGGAGTTTGATGGCATCGGTCTGGGTGGGAGGAAAGGAAGAGCCCTGGTGTTTGCGGTCTGCCAGCCCTCCTGCAGAGGCCTAATCTACCCACCCTGCTTAGGGTGTGCCCATGCCAGTGTCCTGCCTCTGTCCCTGGCTCACACCAGACCTTTCAGAAGAGAGCTCAAGAAATCCTGAAGGTGACAGCGGCAGAGTAACCTGCCAGAAGGAAAAGTTTCCTCCAAACCCCATTACTCAGAGGCTAGCTTGGACCCTGGAGCATTAAGCTTTATATCACCTGTAAGCACTGTCTGTGTTTGTTTCCTTTCCATGTCCCCACCACAGTAACTCTGAATCTTCTGGGTGTCCAGAGAGAGGACAAAGGGTCTCACTGCCATTTTTCCATTTAAAATAGAGAAGTTCTCTGAGTTAAGGCTAGAAAGAAAAATTAAAGTGCAGTCCCAGATATTATGCCTGTTCTGGAATGACTTTATAATCACTTTTCTACTCCTAGGAAATAGTTTTGCTCCCCAGTGACCTCTGCCTGGTAGGCTGTTCAAAGAGCCAATGTTCATTAAATGTGCAGAATAAGCGATGTTGATTAATGCAGTTCCAGTTACATCATGTTACAGGGGGATGGGAAAGTGTGAAGAGACGTCAGTGGGATGATGCTTATACATTGTCGCTTCTAATTTTCTAAATTATTATCAATGAGAAATATAGACAGTTAAATGCCAGCATGAACTGTCAGCAGTATTTGGTAGAAATCTCAACTGTCTTTCTTAACTTGGCAGTGTACTTTAAACACAGAAAACTTCAAATTTAAAATAAAGCCCCTTTCATCTGATAAAGTTGCTAGGGAGAATAAATAACTAAACATATTGAACCGTGGTGGTGCCAGCTTATCCGCTCTTGGCAGGCACGAGGCTGCAAAGCTGGGGCTGAAACCTGTCCTTCAGTGAGGAATGCATCTCCCAGCCCTGAAACCTCCCCGCTGCTCTCCATGGCCACTGGGGTGGCTTACCCCAGCTGCTTCTGCTGCTGGCCTCTTCCAGGACTGCAAAACTTGCTCAGGAAAGGGTCTTTGCACTAAGGGGGTTTCTGCAAGGAACAGGAGCACAGCACATATGCACATGATATTCATGACACAAGGGTCTGCCTTGTGTATCTGTTCAGCATCCTTGCACATGACTGAGGTATCTTAGCGTTATCTCAAAAATACCAGTATCTCTACAATAGCCTTACAGGAAAGAGAGTACACAAGGTGTAAAGCAGAGACAGAGATGAAGGCAAAATAAAAATTGGAAGGAAGAATGTACTTAAAGAGAACATTAGAAAATTATTTTGGTTAAAAACATCTCAGCTGAAATACTGAGAGAGTATTGAGATAATTTAAAATTATTATTGAAAAGGACTGTGGAAAAGGCTGGGACACAAGAAGGACTAAGAATATAGAAGAATGAATGGAGAATACAAAGGCAAAAAGGGAAAAAATAGGGAAAAATCAGAGGCGGAAAAAAAATTATTGTCACCTTTTTATTTTGTAGTAAATTTGCTTTTGTACAGCATCTGACAGAACCATATATCAAACAGAAATTCACAGCCCTGGAAATGGAGGCCTGAGACAAGTTGTATATGCTTTACTCTGACTCTTCTTGGAAGTTACAAATGTTCATTGTCTGGACACACAATGGACAGATTAATATCTCCAGATGTTCACCATTCATCCTCTCAGAACATTAACAGACAGGCCAGGGAATGAATGCTTTTAGCAGAAACTTCAGTTTCCGTTACTGCTTCAGATGAAGTGTTTTGTCAGTGTTTATGTTCTGGAGATCACCTGCTTGAAATGTAGGGAGCCTACACTTCAGAACAATGCCCCTCCGTGCCACCACCTACCACCACACTTAGCCTGCAAACCTTCCATACAAGTGCTGATGAACTGAATTCCAAAGAGAATGAGAATTCAGCATTGCTTTTGACTATTTTACCCAATAGGAATAAGCAAATAGTTAAAATCACAAAAGCATTTAAGTGGTTGAGTGGATTGGATAGTATAGGGATAGTACTTCTTTGGAGCCACAGACATAATAAGGCAACTTTTGTAAGAAATTTGAACAGGAATTTCCATAATTATACTTCTTATTCACAAAGAATGCATCAATTTAGCATTACCAAATGTGATACAATTAGTTGTCATACATTTATTTATTCTCGTAGAAAAACTTGTAATGACATTTTTGGGAAGGGTCTAGATAACAAATGCCCATTTTAATTTGAAGAGAAAAGCTGCTTACCACCAATTCTCAATGCCGTATTATGTAAAAAAAAAACAGGTGAGACACTGCTGAAAACCAGTAATTCAGCAGCAGCACCCAAGTCCCCCTGAAAATTATTCAGATAGTTTTGAAAATACTATTTTTGATATCATTGGTATGGTTCCCTCTCACTCCCATTCATGAATTCTCACTGGCAAAAAGTAACCTTCTGCTGAAGCAAGCAGACTTAATCCTATGAAAAATACTGTAAGTGAAGTAAGTACACTTGTTGCCTTCAGTGTATGAATCTGTAAGAGAAAACAAAACAGGATTTGGTCTTCCAAGGATATGAAGAGGATGTTAAAGAGGCATGTGCTTTTTTCATCTTGAATAATTTCAGTGAAATGGGTGCTCAGGTGGCAGCTGGGAAGACTTGAATTTCTCAGCTTGGGCTACAGCTACATTACAGGTTCATGCTTGAGTATCTCACCCTTATCTCAGTCTTGCAGTGCTCTGCAAAAGGCCATGCTGTTTTGCTGTTTTTTTCTGCCAGTGCTGCCCAGAGCAGCACCAGTTTTCCAGTGGAATGGTCAGGTTCTTTCAGCTGACCTGAATTTGCTCTGAAAATGCCTTTATCATAAAGCAATGGAAAGATAAGATACTGGCTCTTCTCCAGTAAAATCATGGAGGAGTTTAGCTACTCCTTTCAAGGGAACAAGGAATTCACCCCAAAAAGATTAATATCCAAATATCCCACACAAAATCTGTGGGAATTGTTGTTTGCAGCAGTTTTGAAAAAACACTCACTGCTGCCTACAGGTGGGTAACCCACTGATGTAGGAAAAAAACACATTTTGTGACAGCCAGCAGAAGAAGGTAAGAAAAGAGACTCTTGGTAGGAAAAATACAATTTAAAAAATTAGGATGCCATTAAAACAAGCATAAATATACATTATATTACATGAGCAAACTGTGTTTTCTTTAGTGTACATGCCATTTTTTATTAATTCATACACTAAGTGCGAAAGTGTTTCCTAATGCCATTAGGTGGTGCTTTCAGTAAGTAATAGAATAAATAGTTCTTCCACACTTCTTTTCTTCACTGTGTTCTAATTTTGTTAAGTAAAAGAAAATTTAAACAAAACACCACGGTTGCTTCCTCCTTCTGAAACCCACCAACCTTGCACAAGGCTGTGTATCATGTTTCTGAGGCATTTTGGCTCCCCTCAGGTGTAATAAACTGCACTTTGGGCACGATGAGGGAGGGATTGGTTCTCCGCATGGAGTTGCTCCTCCGGATGGAGTTGTTTCTCCTCATGGAGTTGCGTTTCCGCAGGGAGTTTTGGTGGGACAGCTCACTCTTCTGCAGGGTCTGGATGAGAATGGATGGCTTCTCATCAAGCTCTCTAGCGCTGCAACGTGGCGCTGCCACTTTGATGGTGTTGCCAAACTTGGAGTAGTCGACTGCATACACGCCTTCCTCTTCGGTGACGATGGGCACAAAGCGGTGTCCCCACAGGATCTCTTCTGCTATGTAGGAGGTTCTTGCCTGCGTCGTGATGCCAGTTGTTTCTACGACTCCTTCAAGTATCACGATGAGCTCCAGGTCCTGGAGCGCCAGGTCAGCAGCAGAGATATCATAAAGAGGGCTCCGCTTGTCTATGACATGACAAATGATTAAGGGAGCCACAAGGAAAATATTGTTGCTTTCAATGGGGTTATCCACAGGGATGTCTACTTGGTGAATGGGTATGACTTCTCCTTCAGGGGTTGTAGTCTTCCTCACAACCTGTATTCTCACCGAGGCGCTAATGATCATGCTCTTCCTCAGGTCTCCCACTCGAAACATGAAGCAAAGTTTGCCGTTTCGAACTGCAATGACTGCCTGCCGGCTGAAAATCAAGGTCTCAGCCCGCCTGTGAGCTTGTGCAGTTTTCATGAATATGCAGCCCAGCATGACAGCATTGATGATCAGACCCACAATGTTCTGCAGGATCAAGACTGTGATGGCCAAGGGACATTCCTCTGTCATCATCCTGCCCCCAAAACCAATGGTCACCTGAACTTCAATGGAGAAGAGGAAAGCAGAGGTGAAAGACCTGGAGAAGAAGATTGCACAAAATTAACTCTAAGGACATCGAACACAAACTGAGAAGCTAGTAACTTATACTTTCTAGAAACAGACTTAAAGACCTATTTGTACAGTCTTGGTACACTTAAGCCTTCTGTTAAAACCAGCAAAAGCACTGCATGTACAGTGACTGTTTCTGTGTGACTGGTGCAGCATCTGATGGTGACAGAGAAGACCTCAGAGCCTGAGGTCCTAATAGACCATCTGTAACACTAGGTGACTCTGAGAAGCTCACTAGATCCTCTGTTCAGGAACACATGCTGCCCACTGTGTTAGTCGGCAGTGTTGTAACAGCTGGGCTTTCTACCTTCTCCATCCCAGGAAGCTCTTGGTGGAGAGTGGTAGTTTTGGCAACAATGAGTAATTGGCTAGCACACCGAGATTCTTCCACCAGTCTGTGCAGGGAAAGAAAACAGGGAAAACTGTATCATTTCACTCATATGACCTGAGTTTTGACCCCCTTTAGTAGGATTTCCTGGAGGGGAAAGGAGTACTTCCAGATTTGGACACTTCCAAAATCCTTGCTTGCCTTGTGACTGAGCCCACAGGATCAGGCTGCAGAGAGAGGCCAGTGGCTTCCAGGGTCTCCTCTGCACATCCTGGCAGGAGGACCACGCTGTGACCCAGAATTTGGGTTTAGCTCCTGTTGTGGCAAGACTAGCTGGAAAATTTCAACACATAAGTGGGTTGTAGAAGTCTGAGTTAAGTTAAACGTCCCTAATATGTTATAGTGATGGACATTAGAGGATGCTGTCCGCAGACTTTCCAAAACACATTATTTATAGTAGTCCACAATGTCATATCCCCTGTATATACCAGGGTCTTTAATTACCTTTTGTAAAAAGATACATCCGTCACCAGTCTCTTACGTCTAAAATCATTATCTTGGAGTTTATCAGGTAGAATTGAAGTACCCTGGGTCTCATATGAACCAATATCATAGTCACCCTTTTAACAGTGCAATCCACAAACGTTTGAAGAATTACCATGCTCAACATGGCTTTACCTATGGAAAATATGTCCTGCCCATGAAGATGCTTCTAAAACATTCATTGGATCTGGCTTGCTTTTCAATTAATCTGCTTTTAAATAATCTTTTCTTTTTTTCCCTAACCATATTTTCAGTGAACCTGGGGTCATGAGGAGACATTAAAATAGCATAGGCAATATCAGGGATAATTTTCTAAAGAATGAGAAAGTTCATCTTTCAGAAAACCACCCAGTCTCTGCAGAGATATCTTTGAAAGAACTTTGTCTTTTTTTTTTTTTTTTTTTTTTCTTT